CCCGGGATCACCCCCGGGATCACCCCCGGGATCACCGGGGCCGCGCCAGACACCGGGGCCACAGCGGGATCGCACCGGAATTGGCCAGGGGATCACCAGGATCTCCCCAGGATCACTGGGACCATGTCGGGATTGGCTGGGGGATCACTGGGATCTCCCCAGGATCACTGGGACCATGTCGGGATTGGCTGGGGGATCACTGGGATCTCCCCAGGATCACTGGGACCATGTCGGGATTGGCTGGGGGATCACTGGGATCTCCCCAGGATCACTGGGACCATGTCGGGATTGGCTGGGGGATCACTGGGATCTCCCCAGGATCACTGGGACCATGTCGGGATTGGCTGGGGGATCACTGGGATCTCCCCAGGATCACTGGGACCATGTCGGGATTGGCTGGGGGATCACTGGGATCTCCCCAGGATCACTGGGACCATGTCGGGATTGGCTGGGGGATCACTGGGATCTCCCCAGGATCACTGGGACCATGTCGGGATTGGCTGGGGGATCACTGGGATCTCCCCACGATCACTGGGACCACACTGAGGTCAACCAGGGGATCACCAGGATCTCCCCGGGATCACTGGGACCACACCAGGATCTCCCCAGGATTACTGGGGCCATGCCAGGATAAGCTGGGGGATCACTGGGGTCTCCTGGGATCACTGGGATCATGCTGGGATGGGCTGGGGGATCAGTGGGATCCCCCCAGGATAACTGGAACCACACCAGACACCAGGGCCACAGCGGGACCACACTGGGATCAGCTGGGGGATCAAGCGAGATCTCCCCAGGATCACTGGGACCATGCTGGGATTGGCCAGGGGATCACCAGGATCTCCCTGGGATCACTGGGACCACACTGGGATCTCCCCAGGATCACTGGGACCATGCTGGGATCAGCTGGGGGATCACTGGGATCTCCCGGGATCACTGGGACCATGCCGGGATTGGCCAGGGGATCATTGGGATCTTCTTGGGATCACTGGGACCACACCAGGATCACCAGGATCACCAGCACCCTGGATCACCCACAGCATACTAGGATGACCCCCAGGATACCAGGACCCCAGGGAACTGGGATCACCAGCACCCCCAGGTTCTCCCGTACCCTGGGGCACCAGCACCCCAGGATCACCCACAGCCCAGGACATCAGCACACCCGGGATCACTGGCACTCCCAGATCACCCCCAGGATCACCAACACCCCCAGGATCTCCCCTGGGATCACCAGCGCTCCAGGATCACCCCCGGGATCGCCCCAACTCACAGACACTGGCACCATGACACCAACACCCCCAGGATCACCAGCACCTCGGGATTGCTCCCAGGACACTGGCACCCCGGGACAGCCCCGGGATCTCCCCCAGGATCACACCCGGGACAGTCCTGGGATCACGGCCCGGACACTGGCACCCGCTGGGCTCCCGCCAGCGCCCAGGCCGCGTTTCGGAGACAAACGCCACAAGATGACTAAAACCCGGCCTTGGCCTTTCAGAGGTTGTTTTATTTCCCCACAGGCAGAGCTCCTCCCGTGAGGCCCTGCCAGAGCACCCCGGCATTCCCGCCTGCTTCTGGGCTGCGGTACGGACCTTCCTGCTCACGCGGGAGCCTCAAAACGGCATTGGCAGCATCCAAAATGGAATTCTTGCCTTTTTTTTTTTTTTCCAGATTTGGGACCACGGCGTGGGCAGCAGCAGCAGAGGGACCTGCGGGGACGGGGTGGGGGACACTGAGCAGTACCCATGCGGAAGCACGAGGGGGGAGCAAAGACGGGCAGGTGGGGGAGAAAGTCGGAGGAAGGTTTAGCTCAGCTCACGTGGAAGCGTTTTCTTGGGAAATTCAGCCTGGAAATCGATAATTACAAAGCAAAGGTGATTTCTGGGCTGTTACCCACAGCGCTTCTGGGGAGCAGGTGCCGTTACCGTAACAGGAGTGAGCTGCAACAAATTAAACCAAACCGAACAGCTTGGCCTAATTAATTTTCCCAGTGTTTCATGTAAACGAGGGTGGCCTGTGGAAAACCTCCGACCCGGGATGCTTGGATTCAGGGATGCTCCCGCCGTGGCTGGGGCCAGTTTTGGCAAGAGGGGCTGTTCGTCCCCCATCCCGTCGCTCGGCGGGGCCCAGCCGGAGTTTTCCAGTAACCCCAGTGATGTGCCAGAGGGTTTTCCAGTAGCCCCAGTGATTCACCAGGCTTTGGCCAGGGTGTTCCCGATGGCCCTGGAGCACGGGTGCCGCATTTTGGGCCTTTCAGCATTATTTTTCCTGCTCTTCAAATAATTTCAAAGCTCTCGGGGCTCCGTAACCTCCCGGAGGGATAAAGAAGCGACTCCTGCCCGCAGCGGTGCCGTTGGTGGTTCCAGCAGCTCTGAACGCAGACCGGACCCCGCGTGGTGACAGAGGGAAAACACCAAGGGCCACCTGAGATGCGTAGTAGACCCCAAAATCATGGCCAACACTTTTATTCCTTGCAGAGAGAAGAAGCAGAACCTCAAGGAGGAACCAGACCCCAAGAGCTCCTTTAAGCCAAGCTCGCAGTGTGACCAGCACGTATATACAAACCTATATAGGGACCCACGTCCATACATGGCTCCTCAGAGCCACAGCTGTCGTACAGGCGGAGAGGAGCAACAGGGGAGCCAACATGGAGGGCTTGAGGCCACCAGAGCTGCCCAAGAGGCCGCGTGCTGCGGTCGTTGCCCAGGCAGGTATTAAATTAATATTTCACAGAATCCCAGACTGGCCGGGGCTGGCAGGGCCCTCCAGAGCTCACCCAGTGCCACCCCCCTGCCCAAGCAGGCTCACCCAGAGCAGGGGGCACAGGACAGCGTCCAGGC